CCCACCGCCCTCCCCGCGCCCTCGCTGGCCCCGAGCGGGAAGTAACCCGCCAACACATGACAACCAGGTAGAAATGCCTTCCCTCCCACACGGCGCCCGGTCGGGGGCCCAGTGAAACCCAGGTACCGAAAGGATGAGGAGCGGGAAAATGGCTGCTCCTTCCCGTAGTTAACATGGCGCCCGACCAGCTTCAAAGCCTCCGGGAGGGCTGAGGGCAAGATGGAACCCGCTCTGGCCTCCTCTCTCTCTACCGCGGCCGGCGGACTTGGAGGTCTGGTGTCTCCCGATGCACCTCTAACATGTTACCCGGCGCGCTGCCCTTAGTCGGCATGGCGCAGGGTCACCCCGAACCCCGCCCCTCCGCCTGCCCTCATCCAAGAAGGCGCCCACCTGGCTTCGCGAACTGCTAGCGCCGGGAAAGGGACGGGAACGAGGGAGCGGGGCTGGAGGCTGGGAGGGGGCGGCCAGGAAGGCGGGAGGGAGAGGGAGCGCGGGGGAGAAGGGAGCCGAGGCGGAAGTCGAGGGGCCCCCCGGGTGGAAGTGACGCTGCCCCCGCTGCCCAAAATGTCGGCGCCCAGAGGGAGGGAGATGTAATTAAAGAGGAAAGCCGACTGACTTTCCCGGCCTCCCGGGGCCGCCCCAGGGCCCCCGAACCCCCGCGCCCTACCTGCTGTGAGGTTCGCGGCAAAGGAGACAAGATCAGAGAGCCAGGCCAGTCAGAAAGAGGAACTTTAATCTGCACGGGTCCAAGCGCGGGGCCAGGGAAGTCTCACCAAAAGGGAGTGGAGGCACTTCTTTATACACCTGCTCAGTGAGGGCGGGAGCAGGAGCTGTGGGCGTCTCCCCCGCGGGCAGGTCTGTTACGGGTTCCAGTGTAATGACGCCCCAGGGCGGAGGAACAATCGTAGCTTACAGTTAACTTAGGTCATCGCAGTCTCTGGCTCTGTTGCAAAGACTACAGCTTCCTCTTCACATTTTTTACAGCCAAAAAGAGCAGGTCACGGTTTAGCCAGGGGTGACGGGTTCCAGGAACCTAACTTTTCAAAGGAGCAACGAACTTTGTGTGTGTTTGGTCCGCCGTTTTGTGGTTTTTTGTGAATAAAAGCTCACTTCTACATCTGGTCGGAGCTACAGTTTCGGTCCTTGCTCCGGTGGGGTACTGGCACTGCAGACGCTGGCCAGCTGAATAAAGGCTCCTAAACTCTACCCTTTGACTCTGGCGGTCGTCTCTTACGGGTTGCCCCATAACACCCCGGGCAGGTCTGTTATGGGTTCCAGGAAGGAACCAGTATCTGATCACTAGCTGCCTTGCGATTGCATGCACCGGCTCCTGGACTTGCCGCCGACCTCACAGCGGCATCACCCGGGAAATGGTTAGAAAGGGAAATTCTCAGGGCCCCTGCTCCAGAAGTTCTGAACCAGAAACCCTGGGCATAGGAACGTCCAGTTATAAAATACATGTCACAGCGATGTCAGGTACAGAATAGGGGATACAGTCAATAATACCGTAATAGCTTTGTATGGTGACAGGTGGTAACTACTTATCGTGATCATTTCATAATGTACAGAAACACCGCACCACTGTTAGAGACCTGACACTAATGAGTGTATGTCAACTATAATTCTATTAAAAAGTAAAATGAGAAAGCCTAGCCCACTTCCGGCGAGCGACCTGAGTCAGTGCGCCTGCGCTGTGAGCGCCCGCTACTTAGGGCACCGCCCACATCTCCGGTCATTGGGTTAAACCACGCCCATCCCGCAAATCTCACGCTTAAGCCCAGCCCCCTACCTGAAGCACTTTTTTCAGAGCTTAATTATAATAAGCTCCCCCGACGTCTCCAAATGCATCCTTCTTGCCTTGGTCCCCTAATTTTCTCCAGTTCATCCCCACCTCCAACCCCTACCCTCTGGAAGTCCACCTCTTCCTCTTAAGCTTCTTAGGCCAAATCACGCCCTTACTTAGCCCCGACCTCCACCCCCTAGTATATAAACTCCATCTCTCACAATTTCAAAGTGATTTCTGTGCTTCAAATATTTTCTAAAGGGATTCCCTTAAATCAGTGGTTCTCAAGCTATGGTCCAAACACCAGCAGCAGCGGCATCACCCGGGAAATGGTTAGAAAGGGAAATTCTCAGGGCCCCTGCTCCAGAAGTTCTGAACCAGAAACCCTGGGCGTAGGAACTTCCAGTTATAAAATACATAAGTCACAGCGATGTCAGGTACAGAATAGGGGATACAGTCAATAATACCGTAATAGCTTTGTATGGTGACAGGTGGTAACTACTTATCGTGATCATTTCATAATGTACAGAAACACCGCACCACTGTTAGAGACCTGACACTAATGAGTGTATGTCAACTATAATTCTATTAAAAAGTAAAATGAAATATCCTTCAGGCAATTCTGATGCAGGCTGAAGTCAGAACCACAGCTTTTCCACACCTGCCCCTCATATATTTCTGCAAACCTCGCCCCTGACTCAGCTCTGCCCCCATAGCTCCGCCCAGTTCTATTTCTCGTCTCTCGGGGATTCCCTCAGTCACTCCTCTTAGGTTCCCCCTCTCCCCTTGGCCTGAACAGCAGTCATGCCCACCCCTCCTGACACCTTGCTCTCCTAGTTTCCCCTTGAAGCCCCTCCTCTCAGCTAAACCCTGTCCATACCTCTAGATCCCTCTCACTCACTGCCCACAGCCCCTAAGCCACTGTAAGCACCACTCCAGCTCATACAGGCCTTCTCCTAAGCCCCGCCCACAGTTCTCACCTACCTGCCCAGTAAGCCTAGTTGCTCAGTCCCCACCCTCCAGGCCACACCCCTTTACCTACCTAAGCCCTAGCAAAGTTGTCAGTTCTAACCACTACTATCAACTCAGTTTTTCTTCCAAACGCCGTCAGGAAAAGGAGATGGGCAAAGTGGTGGCTGCAGTTTCCAGGAATCTGGCTGGACTGGGGGAGGGTGGGCCTGGAGTGTCACCTGCACAGAAGGTTCAATGTTTTCCTTAGAGTGGATATTTAGGGGAGTGCTTCCGGGTCTGCTAGAGCCTGGAGAGGAGACAGAGGCTGCC